ACTTTTTTTTAGTAAAATTACAATCTAATTACAAAAACAAACAAAAAAATATTAATCAGCGAAATATTCCCGTTTGCATCAACGACCTTTTGCCATCTTTCGGGTAGCTTGCGAATTCCTTGATAGAAGTTCACCGGCTTCGAAGCGATAAAGTCATCAATGCATTTTCGTATCTCTTCTAATCTCACGAAATGTGTATCAGCCAAATGATGCTGCAGCGACCCGAATAGGTAGTAATCGGAAGGCGCCATGTCTGGACTATATGCCGCGTGCGGGAGAAGTTCCCAGCCTAACGCAAAGATATGGTCCTGAGTCGCTTTCGCAACATGTGGTCGAGCATTGTCATGAAGCAAGATCATTTTACGACGTCCTTGGCCAGTAAATGGCCTCTTTTCTTCTAATGCATCGCTTAAATTGGTCAATTGTTGTTGGTAGCGGTCTACCGTGATAGTTTCACCCGGTTGTAACAACTCGTAATACAACACACCTTTCCAATTCCACCAGATACAGAGCAAAACCTTCTTGGCGTGGATATTGGGCTTTGGCGTCGATGTCGAAGGTTGATCAGGGTCAACCCATGATTTTCTACGTTTAGGGTTATCATAAAGAATCCACTTTACATTGCCTGTAATGATTTTGTGCAGAAAATCTTTTTTCCGGAACTTTGAAAGCAAAGTGAGTGCAGTGTCACGCCGACGATTTTTGTTATCTTCGGACAATTCATGCGGAAACCCATCTGCCTTCCTTCCGAATCTTTCCCATCGTATGTAAACGTACGGAAATGGTTTGCTGCGTAACGCCAAGCTGTTCTGCAAGCTCCTTTTCAGTTTGTGCAGAGTTTATATCCAGTAGTGCTTGCAATTCGTCCGTTTCAATCTTTTGAGGGCGTCCAGCACGCGGTTCATCTTCAAGACTGAAATCTCCTTGGCAAAATTTTTGATACCATCTTTTACATGTAGCATGACTTACAGCGTTATAATAAATATGCAGCACAAATCATTGCAGTGACTTCAGCAGCATTTTTCTTCAGAAATGCGAAGTGGATGGAAAATCGAATATGCTCTTTTGTTTATTGCCATCGTGAACACTATTGATTTTTGAGGTTTTATGTGCATCAAACGCCAAACCGTATGGCATTTTAGAAGGTCAAATGTCAACGCTTTAAAACCGCAAAAAAGCGGGAAGATATATTAAATTGTTATTTCGGTTGTATGAAATCTAAAGCTCAGAATTTTTTGTACACCTAATATATATAATTTCAAATACATAACATAAATGTAACAACTATAATCTCTTAGCAATATAACAAATGTTATATTATTGATATCTAACAAACAAGCATCATATTTACTTATCAGTATTATAATATATAGTGATATGTAATATATATTATTACATAACAAAATAGAGTTGAGCTGATATTTATACATGTATGTTATATTATTGATGAATAATTATAATGCTGAATTGTTGAATATCATTCGTTAATATTTGAGATATTATTATGGATATGCAATTATTATATAATATATTTGTGATATAACTTTAATAATACGATTAATTAGATTGATATTGTAGGAAAAATTATTTGCTTATAAATGTAAAATTCTTCATGTTCACATTATTTTGTATTTACGCGCGTAACAGCTTCCTGATTGGTTGCCACATATTAATCGTAATGTACATTCACGAGCTGAGTTAATTAGTCGAGAATGTGATGCCAATCTTGAGTTTGTGCCGAAAACGGGTATGTAATTCGAGTTTAGATTTGTTTAGATTGTCACATACGGATGTATTTGGCCTGATTTAAATTGAAAATGAAAAATGCCATAAGGTCGTTTATGCTTCCCTTAATCTTAAAACATAAACGACCTTATGGCATTGCACATTTCCAACTTTTAAGGTTAAGACTGAAGCATAAACTAGCCCTCTAAAGTGTATTAATACTGAATACTTTGTTAATTTAGTGCGCCTCAGCATTTTGCTGTTGTAAAAATCACAAAAATCTTATAAAAATATAAAAATTTACAAAAATATACAGAATAAATCGCTAAAGGCGTTCTGGTGAAAAAAATTGTACAAGAAATGCTACAAAAATTATGAAAATGTTAGAATTGCAATTCTAGCATTTTTATGAGGATTTTTCTAGCATTTCTTGTACAATGCTTTTCATCTGGACATCTTCAGTGATTCATTCTGTATATATGTTGTATTGTAACGTAACATATTCACTCACATTATATTACATAACATAGAAATTTGTAATATATATTTATATTACCTTACATATGAAAATAATATGTTACATTACATAGTCTAAAGAAATATTTAATACATATATCTATATTATGTTACAATTATGTATCGTTTAAAATGTATCTGATAGAAATGATACATTAAAAGTTGCTGACATAGAACCATACCAAAAAGTGATATTTCCATGCACAAGTAATGTTACATGTAACATTTATGTATTCATGTAATATTACATATATGTATATGTTACGTATTCTGATTTACTGGGATGATACTCCAAAAATATGGAATTAATTGGCATTAATCGCTTTTGGAATTAATACATCAAACATATGTTTTTCTTTAATTCTATCCTTACAAAAAAGAATTATTGTCAGCTGTGTGGTTATTACAGGCCGCTGTGTAATGCTTATTCTCGATATTACTATCTGTGTAGTACTATCTATGTAGTTACTTGTAGTGGATTACATGCCGATATTACACTTTTGTGTATCACTGGAATGATTACAGCAGCATGTAATAACTGGGAGGTTGCGGATTATTCGCAGATATTATTGACTCGTATTAATTAAATATGTATTGTACAATTTTTCCCAAAAACAAGCAATATAGAACATATTGGAAAATATCTTTCGCAGAAATGACAAAAAAAACAAGATTAAATTATGTACACGCACACACACACGCACGCATGCACGCACCCCCCCCCCCCACACACACACACAAATTGGATAGATATTGATAAAAAAATTAATTACTTTAATATGGAGACAATATCGATTTGTGGAATTAATACCTCTGATGATTGAAAGAATTTGGTGTATTCCTTATTATGAAAATCTAAGAATTAATTTTCCCATAAAAAGATCCAACGCATATATATTTTTCTGTGCTATCGGACATACTAGCACATAATAAGCATTACTGAATAGATCTTTGTGACTTTGACTTTCTTGACTTCAGGATTTTATCAACGCATTGATTAAGATTTTTAATCTGCATGTGCCAAGCATCAATATCTACAGCAATTCGTATTGTTATAGAGGCATTTAATATAAAGCATTGGATTAAATTTCCACAACTGTATCATGATGTTTAACATTAAAGAGCAGAAAGTTAGTTAATATTAATGAACCTAATTTAAAAATAAAAATAAATTGGTATAATTAATATCTTTTTTTTTTTTTTTCAGATTTTGGATCCATTGTAGATTTCCAAAGCTAATAGATGTTAATTGCACCATGTCGCTATTTGGCCTTCAGAAAAAAACAAAAATATTTATATATTAACAGAAAATTATATCATTCGTTAAATGTTTTGATAGTAAGTATAACAAATTAAGTACTAAGTTACTATTAGCATAATAAGTAAATTATTGTGCTATTACTTATTATCATCGTATTATTAATATCTTTATATATTTATATTTTAAGGTTTCTGATTATTACGGAAAAATTTTAGCTCTAAATAGTGGGAATGGGGAAAGGACGTATGATGCACGCGTCCGGAATGCTTCAACTATTTCTGCATATTTCTGCATAAAACAGCAATATAATAATAGACAAAGAAATTGTTGGTTGTTTGGTATGTTACTCATAATGTTAATTTATTCAATTTAAGAACATTTATTTTGTAATACATACAAATTTTATAATTAAAAAAATTTTATGTATATTTGTACACACATGAGAAGCTTATCATATAAATTTTTAAGGAATTCAGGATACCTTTTATTACCTTATTTAATGACACCAAAATTGGGCCAATCTGAACATTCACCTTCTGCTCATTACACAAATGCTCATGTAAGAACACGCTCAAGTGTTGAACGAACTATCGGAGTCTTGAAGAGACGATGGGGATATCTGAGAAAGGAAAGAAGATTGCATTATTCATCACAATTTTCTGGTAAGAATTATATAATGACTATATTTACTTTTAAATATTTAAGAATATGTATACATATATATATATA